AGAAGAAGAAGAAGAAGAAGAAGAAGAAGAAGAAGAAGAAGAAGAAGTCCTAAATTCAGTGCCATAAATATCATTTTTATAACTAAGTTCCCATCCTCCTATTTTCCTTTTTTATCCCCAGAAATCTTCTAGAGAAAGAAATAATTGAGTCAGAAAAATTGCCAATTGCTTCTTTCTCAGTAAAGACAGGTAGAGAAAGAGACAGAGATGGGAAGACAAAATGGAGGCAGGAAATCCAGAATATTATGTAAAAACGCTTGGAAGATATCCTAGTTTTACGTCTCTGAACTCTGCCAGCACTATGGAATGGAGACAAATGATCTACCTTCTATGATTGCTGAAATTCTAGACCACATACTTTCAGAATTAAGTTTGTTCCTATTTTTATTTTGCTTTATGAAAATACAATACTTTGATAGATTAGTGTAAAACAAGGACAAAACTTTGGCATATTTTATGTATTACGTCCTACAAATAAAACTCCAGCAAATCAAAGAATGTTAAAAAATCACCCTCAGCAAGGATACAGATTGAAAATAATCACCTCCACATGAGTTACACAAATATAAGTATGCATAGAACTCATATATCTACTAAAAAGACACCGACTTAATTTCCCAAATTTTATTTCAGTGGATATTCCAAATATAATAAGAGAAGCTGACACATTGTGTAATGAGCAACTCAGCTTCCAAGCCATGGTTTAGTTATTGTTACAAGGAAGCTGCAAGTAGGCTTACAAAACTGCAGTGTCTATTCTAGCAATGTTGGTTATGAAAACCAACAGTGCAGTATTGCCATTTTTATTGAAATTGTTCCCCTGGCTTAACAACTTGGGGAAGTATGGGTTTAATTCAAAGTTTGAAATTAAAGTTATTTGTGAGAAAATGTATTTTCAGACACTATCCCTATTTGTTCTGGACACACTTCTGATCTTCTGGACCCAATTTGTGATTACCCGGGGCATGGCACAAAGGCAACACAGTAAGATAATCACTAGGAGTCCCTTTATTAGCTTCGACTTTGCCCCCAATGTCCTGTTTATCTTCTGGCTGGAGAAAAACTCTCCCAGGAACAGCCTTTGACTGTAGAGAATCAAATCCAAAATGTGGTCAACAAAAACTGTAACTATAAGTCCAATAGCAAAATGAGGTAATTAGTCCATCAGGACAGGAGCAAGAATTCCAGATGTGAAGGCATGGCAAAACTCAGCACAGTTGGGAAGACACCAGGAACACAGATAATCAAAGTCAACACAAGATAAACTCATGTTTGCTCCCAGCAGATGCACTCAGCATGCATCTCTTTTAAACTCTCTTCCCAGCTGTGGCTAATTAAGGGAATCAGGGCCCTTTTCTCCCCCATAAGCCATGCAACTCACATTCCTCCCTTCTCCATTCCTCCCTGTGTGTCCTAGGAAGAAGAGGGGGTGGGCCTGTGTCTTCCTCTGAATTCCCTCTCCCTTGTTCTACTTCTCCCCTTCTCTGCCCAGCTGGACTTTGCCCTTCCCCAGTTTCTTCCACAGCCAAAGGAGCCACACTCCCACCTCCTGTCAGCTATTCATCTTCCTCCTTGGATTCAGACTCCAACAGGGGCATGACACAATGGGCATGACACAACTTTTAGAAACAGTTCCAGAAGGAAACACATACTTTCCTAAATTGTGAACCCCATTTTATTTTCCCCAAACTCTGGGTCCTCTGTTATTTATTTAATGTTTACACTGGAGGGGGGAAAAATTAAACTGTCTTGCATTTATGAGATGGACTGCCAGGATAGCATTCATCCCAGCTAATCAGCTGACAGAAGTTGGTTATCTAAATGGACTCCTTATTTTCCCGCAGAATATGAGAAATTCATAATACTAGCTTGTAAAACTAGGGCACGTAAATCAGCAGTATCAAACTCGATTTCATTGAGGGACATGTTGGGGTTCTGTTTGACCTTGGGGTGGCTGGGGTAGGCGTGGCCAGGGTGAACGTGACCAGTTCAACATCACTCATGTCAGGGGCACCTGTGGTGGCCAATTGCTAAGGCAGGACTTCCCTCAGACCCTTCCTCACTCTCATTATAATCTCCTTCTTTCCTTATTTTTCCTTCCTTGCTCTCTTCCCATCTTCCCTTCTTTGTCTTTCCTCTTGTCCCCTTCTCCTTTCCTGTCCTTTCTTGCATGCTCAAATGCAAAAGGGGAAACATTTCACCTTTTGTTTTTAGTTTGTTCTGCTAGCCCTCTGCCAGTGAAAATGGAGCTCAGGAGGGCCGCACCTGTCCCTCCCAAACTCCATTTTCGGTGGCAGAGGCACTGCAGGCCAGTCCTTTGCTGTTTCCAACACCCTGTGGGCCAGATCAGGCCCGCGGGCCTTGAATTTGACACCCCTGACGTAGATCATTAGCACATTTATTATTAAGACAGAGAGACAGTGGAGAT